GCGAGCTGCAGGTCGCGGGGGCGTTCTGGCCTGCTATATTTAAGGAGAGCTTCAGATTGCCGGGACCACGATACAACGCACAACAGATAATTACTCAGCATACTACGAAACTCGCAGCTAATTCAGTGAAATCAACCTTACAGCCCTCGTGCTGTGATGCACAACGTTTATTCGCAAACCACCCAAGATCTAATAAGCACTGATAAAATATTCTTCAAGAAGAATTCTCAGAGTATGTCTGAATATTCTACCCAAAGTTTGAAATAAACTGTTGATTGAATAGGAGAACTCTATAAAAATCAAATTACCATTTTGTTGGCAGCACAATCAACGCAACGAATTCAAAGCCTTTTAGTTCCTAAAGTAGATCAATACCACTCAACAGTAAATGCACCCACAACCAAAACAGAATATCGGCCAACCCCCCCACCCTCATTTCTTGACTTTGTCACTTTCTACAATTGGCTTTAGTTATCCTCAAAGACGACAATACGATCGAACAAAACCGCAATATCCTCGGAATCACCTCCCTAGTGTCTTTACAGACCTTTCGTCTGCCCCCTCCCACCCCGCCACACAATAAGCAACAGTTCACCAAGCTCGCATTGACCAGCCCGAATTACAATAAATACTAACAAAATCAAACGGACTGATTTGACTGGCCTGCTCTCAGAAACAACTCTCAGCATGCCTGGAAAAAACCATGAACTAATGGGCTGTACACCAACAACTCACCTCCAGACAGCATACTCTTCACACCCTCATTCAAATTCAACAAGTATCATAGCAGAACATTCTAGAAACTCTGATTACCACACAAACTTTAAAATGGCAAAAAACTTTTACCAAAACTAAGTCAGACACCCAGGAACAACTCATCTCTCTCCTGGGGTGCTGAAGAAGGAACAGCCGAACACAGGGGCGCCATCTTGCTTTTTTTTTGATGATGTCATCTTTAGCCTGTACTGGGTTGATGCTGGATTATCCACTGGGAAAAGTGAGAAATTGCCTCACATATATCCAATATATATATATATATATCCAAAGTCCCAAGCTCACAATTTATCCTGTCACCCTTCCCTGTAGAGGGGCCCTTTTTGTTAACTGGGACCCAAAAGAAAAACAACAACAGTTACGTTGTTGGTAAAGCTGGTCATGTATTCTAACATGCCATTTATTTACTTTATATATTCTTCATATATAACTTGTTTTCTGACGATTTAAACGCTTATAACATTACTTGTAACAATTTAATTTCATTCATTACAGAACTGAACTTCAAACATCAATAAAAATAAAAACATTATACTTTATGCCAGAAAAATATTTAATAAGACAATTTCTTTTTAAATATCTGGCAACAAATGTGACCTTGTGTTTCACATGAAAAAGCTTAATGAGGTAATCATATTTGTTAGTACAGTTATTCAGTATTGAAATGCTATAAGCTAATGAAAGCTATGACGTCCTGTTCAATAAAAGCAGCAGGACTGCTCAGTGGTTAGACAGAACGGCCTCGACCTCAGAGAAGAAAAAGAGAATTTCACTACAGGGAGCAATATGAAAACATCATATTTGTTTTAATTATGAGTGGCAAGTTCACCAGCTGGACTTAAATCCACATTTCTGCTCTCTTGGTATGGGGTGCAGCAAACGCAAAGGCCAAGTTGTTTTTGTTCTCATTTCTTGCCAAAGCAATTAGCGTCTTTATTTACCTCAGATTATCAGATATGGAGATAGTCCTGGTTCATAAACACTGAGGGCCCCTTTTTCTCCGATATTTGTGTACATTATCAAACACAAGCTGGGTGGGGATGAAATACCCATACTCGTGTTTCAGGAATATGTAAAGACAAGTGTCAGGGTTTGTTTAGTCTATGAGCTTCCTGCCAATTTCAGGGAATCAGACGCTTTGTCAGCAAGATTAAGACTTTTTAAGATGGTGAAACATAGAACGACACCCCACTGAAGAACTCCAGTACATTTGATGTAATGGAGATCATTATAGAGTAGCGCTCATACTTCTGCTTATATTATGCATGTGTGAAAAGTTTTCTTGTTTGTTTCTTCTTTTTTATATACAAACAAGCTATAATTTTGTTTGTTTTGTTTGTTTGGTCTCACAGCCTTTTTGTATAAACTTAACATGAATTGATGATCATGAGAAACTCATACAGTCTGAGTTGCAGCAACTAAGGAGTGAGTCTGTTTGTACCACAATGTCAAGAGGGTCTAAGCTCAATCAAAACCAGATCTCTGAGTTTGTGTTGATAAATCTGTGCATGTTTTTTCAATATTTACCGAGGCATGTGCGGGGTTGTTATTTTCACGTTTTGCCAACCGCCTGCACAAATTGCAAATTTCCACATTGTTCAAATATGTTTAATTCTGACTCTCCTTACATATTTCAGCCAAGATTTAATTTGAATCAGCAGAACCTCTCAGGCTCATTCACTGTTATGATAAGGAAAGAAAAAACTAACTTTTTTACAATACTAACTTTTAAAGGACCACTGTATAGGATTTAGTGACATCTAGTGATTTGGTTGCTGATTGCAACCCCATCACCTCACCCTCCGCTTCCAAGCTTGTAGGAGAAACTACGGTGGCTTCAAAATCTACAGTCAGTGTTATTTTTCAGTTCTGAGCAACTGGCGGACACCATAGAAGAGGATCCCGTCCCTCTGTAGATAAAAACAGCTCATTCTAAGGTAACAAAAACACAATGATTCTTATTTTCAGGTGATTATACACGAATGAAAACAAACTAATATTATATTCCATTTCTGATATATTCAGCAGAATGAATGTGGATGGAAAAAGTGAAAGAGCAACTCGTGCCTCTCTCATTACCACCACTGAAGTGCCCTCGAGCAAGGCCTTCCACCCCCGACTACTCCAGTGGAGCTGCTCAGTGGCTAGCAGATGAGTGGGATAGCTTCAAGTGTGAGTGTGTGTACAGTCACTGTGTGATCAAGGTGTTCTTGATACAGAAAGCCTCTCAGAAATGCTGCTGCTTAAATCAAAGTAAAAATAAAATCTCAAATTTTGTTGCTGCTTTAACAAAGTTTTGAATCTTTTTTTTTAATCATATTTTCATCCTTGAAGTCAGGTTCAAATTAGAAGAAGTCAAGGTTGATTTACGTCCGATTTGCCCCTTCAAAGCTTTACAGAGATGATCACACACGGTCAGGCGGCCCCAGATAGTTTCAAACCTGTTTGAGATTGCCCTGAAAGAGTCATTGTTACGTCTGGTTGAGGGAGATGCTAACAAAATACAAGACAAATCAACTGGACCAAAAGGCAAACATTTTTTACTAGAGGACTTCAAACGGATTGTGTTTCAGTTATGCAGAGCTTTCTTTATCGGGCAATAAACTTTACTTTAAACTCAAAAAACTTCACTGTGCTGGCACAATTCTGAGGAGTGTCTCCTTTAACAATGCAAAAGAACATTTCAAATGGCAGCTGCTAAAAGTTAGCATGTGTTATGGTTTCTGTACAGCTGAGATGGAACAAAGTTAACTGAAATGTGGCAGGAACACGACTGCAATGTATCTTGAGCAAAATATCGCAACAGCAAAGACAAAGAGGAGGGCCAGAGAGAGCAGACTGCTCTTGTAGTTTTGAGGGCGTTTGTGGTTTAAGAGCAAATAATCTGTGAAATGTCTCCTCGTGTATGGGATGCAACTCGATAACATAAAGACACACTCACCTCTCAAGGGTGAATGGAGTCCATCTCTGATGATAGGCGACTGTTCTCCTGAACAAAATAACAGAAAAAAAAGACCAGAGTTAAAACATGCACACAAATATGTACTCCAAGTATCCAAGTATTCAGTCAAATCAGCCTCAGATGATGCTTATGTAAAATTTTAGGTCACATAAGGGTAACAGGGGAAGGCTGGAATTCTGAATATTTTCATATAGAAAAAGAAACCCACTGTAGGTTTTTGTGTTATTTACTGCGAAAGTTCATCTGCCATCTGTAGTCAACTACTGTGGAATTAGACAGCCAAAGCACATCATATATCACAAGAAACAAACACAGTATAGCCTACAGCATATAACGTTTCATGATGGGAAGGTATTATAAGCATTTAAGCACCACAATTTTAGCATTATATCACATAAAGCATTATATCACATAAAGCATCACAAAGAATCCATCAAGTAGACAATTGCTTGTGACTTTTTGACCTGCTATAAACAACACACTGCCTGTTATACACTGTACTCCTACCTTCTAAAGAAAATAAGTCAGGAGAGAAGGGGAAGTTATTGTTTTCCTCCCTGTACAGCTGCTGTGGGAGTTTTAAAAAGGGGTTTCAAAGGAAAATAAACCACCAGATAATGCTGTGAAATTGGGTGATTTGATAAATACATCAGGGATCCATTCCTGGTGGAAATCCCTGTGATTATTTTCGCTGCTTCCATTGTTTTTGATGTAAACACAGCGGCAGCAGCGGCAAGGAGAGGGAGGGTAGCTGCCACTCCTGTGAACAAGTACAGGCTCTGAAATGTACTCAAAGTATAAAAGTTAAAAACTCTTTCTCTGAAGGACATATTTCTACCGGCTGTTTCTGTGCAAAACTAACAAATAGGGGTGGGTTAGGATCTTACTGGTATCTGAGTTCCCTGAATTACAGACCTCTCCGCCTACAGAGACCAGACAGATCAATGAAGAAAATTATTATTAGAGTATTAATCTGGTCTGGGACACAAACAAAGTTAATGATACCAGTTAGAAAAATTTGCTATATTAATCAATTCAATTCAATTCAAAACCTTTATTTAAGTCTCGAGAATCACTGAGGTTCACTTAATTTACAATGGTGTTGAGAAATATGCAGATTTAAAACACAGGACGATACTCAGTGAAAACAACTGCACACTGAGGTGAAGTGATTTGAGATCATTGTCTTAAGTTGTCCAGGGGGATTGAGAGAACATGTTGTAGATAATTCCTTGTGATTTGTGCACAAAAGCTAAAGGCAGAAGTTCAGAATAAACCCGACATGAAGCATGACACCGTCATCCAGTTCAGCATAGATGTTATAGGGTGGCAAACTTTCCGTTCTAATCAAGATGACAACATTTTCAAAATACCAATTTTTTTCCTTTGTAGAACATTCCCATTGGTTTTAATGGTGCAGCTATAAGAAAACATGCTGGAATTTAATTTGATTCATTTTTCATTAATTTAAATACTCCAGCGTGCTGAGCTCCTAACACACGCACACACATGTGTATGCACACAGGTGTAAATACCGGCATATGGTTGTGGATGCCATCCTGCGTGTGATCTCGCTCCTCCTCTTCCTCGTCTTCCAATTCCTCCTCCTCGTCCTCCTCCTCCTCTTCAGCTTCGCTGTTCTGTCTGTGCTCCTCCTCGTCCTCCAGCTCTGAGCTCGACTCCTCCCCTTCCTGCCACGCCTCCTCGCTCTTACACTGCTCTGCCTTCCTCAGCTCTGCACGGTCACACACACACAGATGCAATAAGCCAAACTTTCTTAGACTCTACAAAACAACACTGTAGTATGTATAAATTGACACCGTCACAGTGTTGGCCACTAAATCAGCCGGTCAAATTCTCCAAATTATTATGAAAGGAGCATCCTTGTTTCCTCCTCTATCTCCTTTAGCCAAGACTGTCCTTTATGACTGAAAAACAGAATGAGTGATTGACTGAAAGATTGAAAATCTGTCTGATGAAAAATGATCCAGAACCAATGGAAAAACAAAAATACACACAAAATGCTTTAAAAGTGGGGTCAATCTTTCTGGAGACAGAGTTGACTGTTGAGTCTCATTACCAGGTTATCAAATACTGTCTTTTAATATTTTAAATCCTGGGTGCAGGAACAGTTTTCTCAAATACTTAGAAGTGCTTGAAGCTCCTTGATAATTAGCGATGGGGTTAACATGTATGAGCAGATCTTTTCAATAATATGCAGGTGTGACACTGGATCCTTTCTGTTAGGAAGCTGCATAAGACTAAGGCTATCAAAAAATGAGTGCTGGTTTGGGATCAACAAGCTAAGGACAGGCATTTGTGAACAGGAAAGTCCTCATCATATAAAATAAATGCTGAAATGTTATGTACAATGAAAACAGAAACAAAGGGAGACAGGCTTTTTGCAGCCAGCAGCGGTGATGTACTGCGAGTTGAGCTGCTCTCATTGGCTGCACTTGATTTGGTCATAGCAGGAAGCAATGGTGGCTCTGTCCGCTAAGTATATACTGTCAATGGTGGTACCCCAAACAATGAGGGAGTACAGTCAATCTCATCAAAACACATGGGTTAAGCATCCAACGAGCACAGCAAGGAACAATCTCTGGTGCCACCTATGCACAAGAGCAGAACCGCACCTCTTAATCCTTTAGCAGACACACACACACACATACACACACACACACACACACTTTTTTGTTTAGCTTGTAAAGCTGCATCCCAGGCTCCTGGTGCAAATGCAGTGCTGTCCAGTTTCACATGCCTTTAGAGAATCTTGTAACACTGCACAGGCTGCTTCTACTTGCTTTTGATCTTGGTGTCTCTTTTTATCCACTTGTTATATTCTGTGGTTTGTAATTTTTCTTTTGTATTTTTATTCTTGAGCATTTTTCCTGGCAGTTACTGGACACACACACAGTGAACTTTTACTGCACTGGTGGGTACGTCATGTAAGTACATGTAAGACAACACTTTACTTTTCATGATGTGACATTAAAAAGTAGTTTCACTGGGATACAATTCATTTCATGTGGCTAATTTTAAAGGACCAGAGTGTATTTAGTGGCATCTAGAGGTGTAGTTGAAGCTTCACCCACCCCTTCCAAGTGCAAAGGAGTGACTACGGTGGCAGTGAAATGTGCTACTTAGAGCTGTTTGGTTTGTCCGTTCTGGGCTACTGCAGAAACATGGTGGTTGAACATGGCCTCCAAAAACGTCTTTATATTATATTATTATATTTTCAGGTGATTATAGCCTACACTAATGAAAAACTATGTTCAATTTCTACCAACAGATCCTCCTAAATATTACACACTGGACCTTTGAATTACTTTTATTGGGGTATTTAATGGTTGTTTGGATGAATTTTTGTCAGTACAGAAACATATATAAACATTGATGTTTATTTTCTATTAGTGAAGATTTGCATTAATGCAAATGTTATTTTTCTTTCTTTATTTTTTTAGCACTGTGGTTGTCATATCTTAATTACATCTGTCCTCCACCTCTTCATGTTCACACTAAGGTCAGGGATAGTTTCTCCATCTGTGCACCACAGACCAGTCAAGAAAAAAGGTCAGAGGTCACAATATACAGACAATACTGATGACAAAATAATCCTATGACGCTACAGTGAGAATTTATAGTAACCCTCTTTTTAGAGCAGTGGCCCTCAGGTTGATCACATCCCCTTCAGACTGTCTTCTGCTCATCGCAGCTTTGTGAACCACAGCCTGTCAGCAGATGGGAGAAATATGTCTTGGCCTGCCTTTGGGCCCTTCTGGGTGCTGTTATCCTCCGTTTTACCGTAATTATAGTTAACATTATTGCCCTCCAACTGCATGCTTGTCCAGCAGATTTTGACCTTTGTGAATATCAGTTTTGCTTGGATATGCACATTATATTTGCTCCCATAAGGCATCCTTTCTTTCTTTTATAATTTAAATGGGAGCAATTATAGTAAAAACCCCACAGCATTCAGGTAACTGGACAAAATGGATCCAGACTGCTTGGTGTAAATTAAATTGTCTAACATTAATGTTTTGTGTCTGATATAAAAGTCTTATACAAAATATATGGAAAATCAAACAACCTACAAAACATATAAAACATATGCTGTTACTACTACTTAGTTACTACTGAGCCATTTGTGAAGCTTCTTTTAACTAATTTAATCAAACCTTGTATGTCAATAGCTATATAAATCACTGCAAATTTTACAATACATATGATTATGACGGCATGCAGAGAGAGTGATCTCCCAGGCTGCTGATAAAATTGTCAGAAAAGAAGAAAAAAGATGGATGAGCGACTCCAGATGGCTCAGCTGTGAGCGCTGGAATGAGAGACAGATCAGAACAGAGGCCAGAGATGAGGATATCGAGGCCAAGGGAGAGGAAGAGGGCGTGGTACAAGACTCAAAAACGCCAAGATGGTTGTTACTGTTGCAGACAGCATTGTGACAATGTTACAATTTGAAAAGAATGTGTTCTCCTTTGCTTTCCAGTTTCTAGGTCTACAGGGGTGTTGTAAATCTTCCCTCATGTGTTTGCCTCCTGCAATACACTAACGGGCAAATTCACAGACGGACTGCATGGCTTTTGCGACTATTAAACCTGACCAAATAAGACAAAAAGAAACCGTGTAATTCACAAAGAACCCACAAAGGGTGGAATACACCTCTAACTGTGCTGCCAAAAAAGAAGCGCCTCAGTGTTCCAGTGCTTTTTGTATGTGTTTAAATGATGTAATATGCATACACCCTCCCTCAGCCTCCTTTCAGGTTGGAAATGATCACCCTTTCCTCAGGCCTGTACTGCCAGTCCTCTTCCACAGGTTGTAGTTCTTGACAATCATTGACCAAGTCTTTGACCCATCCACAAAGGTAACAACCATTTTCGAGTCTGGCCACCATCTCTGGGTTTTTACCATAGGATAAGTAGATGCAGTAGCAAAGGTGCTACTGAGAGAGAATATTCCCAGATGGGGAATACAGAGGAAACTAACATGTGATAATAGCACAGAATTTGTAAATTGCACCATACAGCTGATATCACAATCTCTGGAAATGGGTTTGAGAAAACACTGTGCATATTCCCCAGAGAGTGGAAGAGCAGTAGAAAGTGAGGATGGCACTATAAAACTCAAGCTGAATAGTGTGTGTGAAGAAACAGTGTGTTAAAGCTCTGCCCCTGGTGCTACTTAGCATTATGGGAAGGAGAAAGCTGAAGACAGGCTTTTCCCCATTTGAAGTGCTCACAGGAAGGCTCTTGGATACGGGATGGCATTTCCTGGTCCAGGAGAGGAAATTAATGAAACGATGCTAACCTATTGAATTAATATTTCAAACTCTCTAAGATCCATTCATACACATAGACATGATCCAGCTGGGAGACTGGGTTGTGGTAAAGGATTTTGGAGGATGCCCCTGAAGACGACCAGGGAAACGAGAGTTCAGTGCTAGTAGCCTTGGACTCCAATGCAGCCTGTGAGCAATCGAGCCAGAGAGAAGGAGCTGGCACCCATTCAGGAGAATGGGCAGCGGGATGAGAGGCAACCTCTGCTTCTTGACAGTGATCAGCTGTCTCACAGTGCTTCTCCTGCTGCTTTAGTTTCAGCTTGGGACAAAACCAGGAGACAGTGCCAACCGCATGCAACCAGGTGAGCACACAGGAGAAAGCCCTCATCCCCAAGGACTTACACGCCCAGTGGAAACCGAGAACATGAACAGACTACAATGGCAGAAGCGAGGACGGTTCAAGCGTGACAAGTAAGAACCTTGGGGGTTCGACTCAGAGAGAAAGTAGTCTGCTTATACAAATGGGCAAAGAAGAGTGTAGACAAGGTCTGGTCAGGGTGGAAAATGACGGCCTGATTTGTGGGACGTGGGGCAGGCAGAGGAGACTGCGTGTGACACTGCCACAGGCTCAGAGACTTGAGGAGTTTTTTGAAGTCCTGGAGAGCAGAGGATCCACCAACCACCAACCACTCTCCTCAGTGCAGATCAGCTGATTCACAATCGGCACCGAAGAAATCATTAAATGAACCACCCGTCTTCTTTCCTAAGCCGGTCAGACTGATGACCAGATCGCATGGCCTATTATATACAGATTTATGCATTGCTGCTTTTACTTATTGTACTTTCTTAAGCATATTGTAAACCATGTATACTGTTATATGTCAGTGACATCTTTACTTTCAGAAAATTTTCTATTTTGTACATTGTAGGTTTTAAAGTTCATATTTATATTGTTTCAAACTGAATTGCATTGCATGGATTTATGCTGGTTCCTAAGCAGGTAACACAATAAACTTGAACATAAATAAAATACAAAAGTTTATAGCCTATTAAAAAAAGGATTTGTTTTGGTGAAATCTATTTCTATTTTGCCTCAGAAACGTTTCAGTTCTTTTTTCTTTGTCTCTCCTGCCAAGGGAAAACAGAGGAGCTAGACCTTGACTCCCATGACAGTGCTTCTGTAATGTAATGACGGAAAATGGAGCTTGGACACAGTGTATTTGGAAGGTTTGTAATGATGGAAAATGGAGCTGGGACACAGTGGATACTGCTATCAGTTCATTTGAGCCAAGTATGGACAAACTTCAATTGTTTACACATGTTGTCAAGACCATCATTCTTCCTTCAGTTTCCTCAAATTTGCTTAACTAATTTAGTTTGAGCAGAGGCAGGTACAGCTGAGCTGAATAACACTGGTTTGTATAAAGGGAGATTGGTTATGATAAACCAAAAAATAAAATTTCCAAAAGAAATAAACCAAAAATTTCACATATTCATGAGAAAAAAAACTATAAAAACCACAGTACATATTGTTCTTTTGTGCTTTTATGACCACTTTGGCATAACCTTGTTTCTTTGCCCTGGGTATTATTTTCCCCAGTAGTTTTCTTTCCAGCAGGTATTTCAGCACTTTTTCACTCCCAGCTTGCAAATACTGCCACTTGGTCAGTGCCCCTTCGCTTCAAAATGTGATCCCTCCAGCATCATTTCTGGACTCCGCAGTCAAGTTAGTAATATTTTATCACACACTAATAAAGCTAAATAAAGTAACATTGTGAAATGGTTGCAGTTTGGTTTGGTTTAGGCACAAAAACCACTTCCTCAGGTTCAGGCAAAACAAAACTAATTGGTTAGAATTAGGAAAAGGTGGTAGTTTACACTACAGATGTAATTTTAACCCTTTAAGATTGCATATTTCTCACTTTCTCACTCTTTATACTACGTCACATGGCTTTGATGGCTGGCATGTCCAGAAATGACGCTAGAGGGATACCTACAGCGTCATATTTTGAAGAGGAGGGCTACTGACCAAGCTGCAGTATTTGACGACTTGGTAGTGAGACCGCTTTGATATTTCGTGGGTTAGGCCTGATGATTAGAATGCAAATAAAGATGTGGCCTTAGTGACTTTATGACTTTTTGAAATTGGGACATTAAAAAAGCCACGTATGTCTTCAGAGGACAAGACTGGAAGTAACATCACTGAGACAAGATATATTTCATGTTGTTTCATGCTCATTTCTCTTGGTGTGACAATTTTATTCTTTCTCCAGGAATCTGAAGAACACACGTGGCTGCCAGAAAGTTTATGATAGTTTATCATCAAACCAAACTCTTGGTGAAAACCTGCTTTAAAGCATGTAAAGTATTTCTCTATAATATCAAATATTCACAACTAAAGGAGTAATGACTTAAGCTACAGAATCGTCTTTAGGTATTATTAATGAAGAGTTTCACACTCTAAATTCATGGGTGGAATTAAAGGAAAAACCTGAATAAATGAATGCAGAAATATAATGAATGCAATCCGTAAGGGACACCAGGGCTCACCGAATGGTATACTGTAGATAATATAAAGATATAAATAACACAGCTCAACTGGTATCTATTACGTATTTATTTTACAAGCTTTTGGTCAGTGACCTTTGATTGTACTGAGCTGCCTCCTCAGTGACCTCGGCAGTATCATTGCTGGGTTCACTGTCTCCAAACCTATTAAAGGCTTTTAATGGATCAGTTTTGGGCAGTTTTCTTAGATTTTATATTTCATCTGTATGTAACTCTTAGCACCTGCCAAGATATGAGCGTCCTTCAGCTCCTTGCATGCAAAAGCAATAGAGTGCCTCTCAAAACCGCTGGGAAGCAGCCAATGTGCTGTAGTTCCCAAAACTTTTTCTCCTCTCAGTCCAGCAATTAGCTGTTACAATATCATCCATGCATTTTTTGGGCCATCTTAAGGTCAAAAGATATGTCTATGGGTAAATATGCTATTAAAACACTTGGTTTATATAATCCTGTTTCAAAAGCTTTTAAAAGCTCTACTGTGTAAGATTTAGTGGCATCTAGAGGTGTAATTGCTAGGGATGCTCGATATTGGCTTTTCTGCCGATATCCGATATTTCGATATTGTCCAACTCTCGGACATTCCTAGTAATTGCAGATTGCAGCTCTTTTGCTTCATCCTTCCTTTCAAGTGCGAAGCATGGTGGCCGCAAAATGTGTGAAAAACAAGAAACGCCCCTATCTAGAACCTATCTACCTATCTAATGTTTGGTTTGTCCCTTCTGGGCTACTGCAGAAACATGATGGACTCCATGGAAGGCGACTTGCACTGTCTGTAGATATAAACAGTTAATTCTAAGGTGACAGAAACACAACAATTCCTATATTCAGCTGGTTATACACTAATAAAAACATACCTATGAATATATGTATGAATGTGTCATGTCTCAATTTTAAGCAAAACACATTAATATCACAATGAAAATATATCCTATCACTAACTAAAACTTTAATATTAATATTGAACTCTTGTTCACACATTTATACACACACCGACGGAGATGGATCTAAAAGGCCTAATCATCGGGAGCAACCTGGGGTTCAGTGTCTTGTTTAAGGACCTTTTGACAGGTAGACAGGAAGAGACAGGAATCAAACCACTGACCCTGGATTAAAACCTCTGGCACCACATATGTGTATGCGTTCTCAGAGCTGTATTGGTTGTATTGAGAGGTGAGGTGAGTCCTTCACATACCTGACCACCATGTTGGCTTTATAATTACGTTAACATAATCGGAGTTCATTGTTTACACAGGCTCCCCTTTGTTCTCCCATGTATTACTCCCATTATGATTGGATTAAGTGTGTTTGTGTGTGTGTGTGTCACCTGTGGCGGTGATGTGTGTGTCTTCTGTGATCTGTTCCAGTCTGCCCAGCAAAGCTTCGATGTTGGCTTTGATCTGAGTCAACTCTGACTTGATCGCCTGAAGCTCTGTACCTTTCACTGCTGGTAGAGAGACAGACAGAGAGAGACAGGGCGGGGGGAGACAAAGGGACAGAGAGAGAGAGAGAGAGAGAGAGAGAGAGAGAAAGAGATAAAGAGAGAGAGAGAGAGATGTTAGTGTCCATTTTCTGAAATCTGATCCAGACATTCACATTTTACATGTTCAGAGTCTTACAAACAATATTATGTTTCTGGAACCCTCTGGAGATGATTACTGTACTCGTCTTGCTGTACATTTCTAGCAGACAAGGTCTGAATCCTGAGGAGAGCAACAGAGTTTAGAAACACTGCAATGTTCAAACAATACTCCAGGGTCACTAATGGGTCTATATGAGCCATGAAATCATTCGCCACCATGCGGCCGCAGCCACCACCAGCAGCCTGCCTGAACTTTTAACAACAGGCAGGAGGGATTCATGGACCGACTCTTTATCTTCTGGTCAGTTTCATGAACATCTGCCAGTTTCATGCTGGTGTTTATTGTTTAAAAGTGATAGCAACACTAGAGGAAAGGCCGGTGAATCACCAAAAACATCAGGAATCATCCCTTTGGGATCCATGGATATTTATACCAGATTTCATGACAATCTGGCCAGCACATATTGAGATATCTTGCTGTGGGTCAAAGTGATGGATTAACTGTTTCAAACTGCAAATGTTAGACAACTTTTTTTTTTTTTATAACTGCAGCTCTGTGACATTTCTTTGGAATGAAAACTTTATTCTGATTAAATTGATGATAGCTTTTTTTTTGTATTTCTTTGATGTAGAAAAGCAAAGAAATCTAGAATTCTTAGTACATTTGTTCACTTTGTTTACAATTTCATTATATTTAAGTGAAACATCCTTAAAGCTGCAATGAAATTTGATTTATTTTATTGGGAGCTAACAATCAATAAGATACACTGAAAACAGACAAACACAGCTTTTAAATGGTTTTGATAATATTTTTTATTTCTGAATTTCATACTTACTCAGTAATTATTTGCCACTTGCTTTAAATGCAACAATGATGATAAGTTTTACTTTTCTTGGACACTTGTTTTTATTTTAGAATTCATCTTTATTGTTTGCTTTTGTCAGTGAGTTTTTGGATAACATAGAGAGAATAGGAAGGGTGAGGGGGCAGCAAGTGATGAGTGCATTAGTGGCAGCAGAGAACTGGAGCCATGCAACACATCTGGTGGTTGTTTTTGTTTCACTACAATGAACTCACAATTACTACCATATTTCACCAGCTGTGTGTTTGTGTTTATGTGTGTGTGTGGTTGTTGCTCAATACACATTCACCACTCCTCCCATTCTTACTGTCTCTCTCACTTTTTCATTTCCTTTCTTTCCTTTAGCTCCTCTTTCCTGTTTTTCCCTTCCCTGTTCTTTCTTTCACATTCCTTCTTTCTCATACCTTTACCCTCATTTCTCTTCGTATTCCTTCTTTCTCGTCCACTTGTTTTATCTTTCCTTTGGTTTAACTCCACCCTTCTCTTTCTGCCTTGTCTTAAATCTTAATTTAATGCATTTATTTGTATCTCTTCTTTATGTTCACTTATTCCTTCTCTTTCCTTTTTCTCCACCTGCCTACCTCCTGTGTCCTCACTTTTTCATCACCTCCTTCCTCTGTAGGTCTTGTCATCTTACTTATCTTTGCTGTTTCATCTCTTTCTCCGGCTGTCCTCTCTCTTTCTTCACCCTTACCACTTTCTTGTCATCCCATACCTTTACTTCCTTCCTGTTTTTTTTCTTCCCTTGTTGCTGTTCTCTTACTCTTGTCTCATCTCCACGTCTCTATTAGCTGTGTGAAATGTTTAGAAAGCCATCTGAGTTCGAACCAAACCAGCTGAGAGGCATCTGTCTCTTGGTGGACAGTTGTACACAGATACACACACACACACACACACACACACAGGGTACTGGATAGCACATTAAGGACCTAACGGGAAATTAAATCCAAACACATAAACAATTAAAACTTGAAATGTTTTAGTAAATCTGAGAAGTAAACACTGCATGACATTTTTTCATTTGATTTTTTAACACAAAACAGAGGAGCAGAGACATGAAGTGAGAAAAACTAGACAACTACCCAACAAAACCCTAAAATAAAACCAAAAAGCACCACAAAACATCGCCTTTTTATGCCCGAAAAACCTTCCCTCTCTGTTGCTGAAACTCTTGCTCGCACCTTTATGACATCCTGACTTGTTTACTGTACTGCCCTTCTCCTTGGTGTAAGCACTCAGGGGTTAAAAAGACTACAGAATGTCGAGAATTTGGCTACAGTTCTCTGCCACACGTGGCCCTGGGAGTGCATCGCCCCCCTTCAGCAACTGCACTGGCCCCCATACCCCATTTAAATACCGCGTTTTAAAATACTTCTCCTTGTTTATAAATTTCTCCATGGCTTACTACTTATCCAATCTTCTCCATCCCTACACATCGACTTACTCCTTATGTTCCTCTGATGCCCATCTACTCTCCACTCCCCTATTGTGTGCCTCCGATGAAAAACACAAAACCATTAAGGACATTCAATACTAAAAGTGAAGCAATTTTCAATATTTTCACAATGTCACAATCTAGGTGGCATGAAGTGAATCTAAGACACATCTACATAAGGCTGTTTAAGCTTGACATATGCTCTTACACTGACCACAACTGACTCAGGCTTCATGAACATACTACCTCATACCTAAACAACAGAAGTACTTTGTCAGTGACTTCCAAAGTGATGAATGTGAGCCGATTTGGCAGCCACATTGGCGGACCAGAACCATTCACTTCCAAAACACCCCATATGACCAGCACATAAACGATTCATATGAACATTTTCTGAGCTGCCAACATATGGCTAAATTCTGGTTAGGTTTTTGCAACTAAAACTACTTGGTTATAGTAGTAAATATTATAGGCATGGTTTAAGAAAAAGGACAATGCTGACTATACGAAAAAGCATGTAAACCACAATCTCTCATGATCTGACATGACAAAGTCGCACCCAAAATCCTTTTCTTGGTCTATGCTTCTGATAGAAGACAGACATTATTCACCACACCACATTTTGAACAAACCAGTTCCTGGTGAGTTTTGAGCTCAATTTGGTCGAAGGTACCTTGAAAACTGATGAGTGAGAGGCAGTACAGGGTTTTTAAGAACATCAATCATTCTGCTGTAAGCTCGCAGAGGTGTCAGTGCTCATTTAAACAGTCGAAGCTCATAACTCAACTGGAGACTGTAAGAACACAAGCCCTTGAGTCTGCCAGAGATCCCACTGTTAGGTGTCCTTGACACTGAATCCTTGCCAGCTCCAGAGGAGCTGCTACATTCTGTTGCAGCTCTGAACTTTGACCTCTAATCACTCTCTGTAGCAAAACGAGAGAAGATATTTCCAAAGGTAACAATTGAAGATAATTAAATATAAGATCTTCTCTTTAAAAGTAGTACTGTTCTTTTAAAACTTAAGTCATCTAAGTATCACAGTTCTTAATTCTCATCAAGACTTCTGAAATTCAAACTCAACCCTCTGCCTTAAGTCTAAACGTTTACACTGTCTTACCCATGTCTGCATCCCATTTTCTTGTTGGAGTGAAACGTCTGGCATGGTAGTGTCTATTACAGTACTGCCATGGAAATTACAATGTCATTTTTGATTTTCATTAATTAAAAAAATATACATTTCTTGAATGAATTACTGCCAAATACACTATATAACTTTTTTTTCTCATTTATCCTGGGGATGCATGCTCTTATTTTTGGCAACATGGTGCTTAAGATTCATATAGTCTATGCATTAAAACAGCCTGCAAAGTAAAACTACAGTGTCTTCAATCAACAAGTTAAGTTAATTGTATGTTATGGAATTGATACATGTAAGGGTTTAAAATAGTCTGGCTGGTAGAAGTAGATCTATAAGGATACCTTGTGGACACCAAGGGCCTCATGTATAAATGGTTTTCACACACACGTGGGATGTATAAAAATGAACGCGACGTAAGGATGTGCGGGCCGTGCTGCAAACTCTTGTCTGGCTCTGTGACTTGAAGATTTCAAACGTCAAAGTAATGAATCTCGCCAGATGTTTCTACATAAAGTTTCCACTCCAGAAAAAAACATAATTATGTGCACTGATACACCATGACAGTTTGATCCTTTCTGTGGATAATGTTTAACATCAGAAAGACCAAATCCAAAACAGGAAGAAAATGCAATTTTTCCCACCATGCCTACCTTGTCCTAAATATGTATCCTAAATATATGTCTACCTGGCTAATTTCCCACAGATGAAATGTCTTACTCAAAGCGCTTATATTAAGATCGCCAGGGAAAACAGCGATTTCTGTTTATGGGACATAGAGATGTTAAATAAAACCCTGACCCGGGCCCACCAAAGCCGAGTGCAGCAGCCATATAGCTTGGAGTAACATACACGTCTGAGTCGCCCTCATATGCGGCAGGATGCCAGAGGTGAGAGCTTTTGATTGCAGCAATCCAGCCTTGGTACCTGGGGGGCCAGCTCTGCCAGGTGAGCTATCCAGGTAACCCTTCAACTACATATTTAACCGGATGAAGGATTTTAGTTATGGGACGTCTGGATCAGGGAAACAATCTGAGCAATCATTAGCAGCAGCACAGCTGGCAGGCGCTCTGGGGCATTCTTTGTCCGCCAAACCGCATTGAAGAAACACAGTGTTTTTACCAGTTTTAATGACCGGGTCTGTTTTTTTGAAGAGTAGAAGAACTTTTTATTCAAAAAGCCCTTTGCCCAAGGATCTCAAAGTACGTGCTAAGAGGTCAAAGATACAGCAAGGAGAGAGGCCATGAAGAGCCTTGAAAGTAATTAATAAAAACGAATCTTATCCTAAAACATACTGGGACCCAGTGTAAAGAGACTAAACAGGAGCGATGTGATCACATTTCTGCAGGTGTGACTGGGCTGTTGCAGCATCTCTGTGTCTTTAAAAGTTAAGATATATCATAGTTTTCAAATATTTCTAAGATGATAAAAACATTGCACAAGCTCTGTGATTCCTCGCCACAGGCTTTATATGATCCAACTGAGAACAAGCAAAAAGCAGAATTTGTTTGCCGTGTTCTGGAACCCAAAGACAAGAATCTCTGTTTTGTTTGAGTTCAGAAGAAGGACATTTTTTGACATCCAGTTTTTGACATTACAAAGGCAGTCATTGTGAACTCTGTGTATCATCAGCATAAAAATTAAAAGAGACACTGTGTCGAGGAATATACCCAAGGCAAAGACTGACCCCTTGGGGCACACCATACTGAGGAAAATGAAGAGACACAGAACCTTCTACTTGACAAGTACGATGGAAACCACTGTCCCAGACATCCCTGCCTAGTCTGTCTAACAGGTGCTGTGATCAATTGTGTAGAAGTCTGCACTAAGGTCCAGAAGTACATAAATAAAAACTGAGCTACCAACATCAAAAGAAGAGCAGGTGGGCCAATGCTAGAACCACCTGAAACAGCTGCTATCACTACGTTGATGTTGCATTGCATGGGTCCAGCGTAAGTGAAAGGTTAGGTAAAAGGTAAACCATGTTTTTATCTATACATTGTCTAATGTTTCGCTGCAAAACAATTGACTCTCTCCTGATATTGTATGTCATTGTATTTGTTATAGTAACCCATCATAAATTAATATAATTATATTGGGGTTTTTTATCCTCAGACAATTAAAGTTCCATTCACGAAATGGACAAAAAAAACTGCTTGTATGAATGCAGGCACCACAGAGATTGGTAATGGTTCATACAATATCAGATAAAAAAATCTGTAACAAGGATTATTTTATTTTTTCAACAGAAATTTTATAATGTGGACCCGAAATTCCTGTGGTTTAAAGACTGTCTCTGTAACCAGGAGCACAACCAACTTCACATTGGCAGGGTTTGTGTTTTACACTGAGCATTAGGCAGTACAAACTGTCAGCTCTTTATTTTGAGCTTTAAAAAAAAGTGGTAAAGTGAGTGGTAAAGAAAAAAATATATAAAGTGTGTTCTGTTTGGATGTTGCTTTTCAAAACCATTTGAAATGCAAGTTTGATGAGTACACAGAAAGACACTCAAATCAGTGACATAAAAAACTGCTTTGTGAGCTCTGCAGTGAAATTCAGTAAAACTCAGCGGAAATAAAAAACTGCTGTTGGGAAAGAAAGGTTCAGGTCGAAGTCAAATATGAAAGGAGCTGACGGGACGTCAGCATCTTTCCTCAGATCCACGATCTGAACATGATGTGAAATGAATGTTTAATGAGCGGAATGCAAAAATAAAGTGACACCAGTCGCCCTGATGCTTGAACCTTCCACTGACATGTAAAACATAAACTTGAAAGATAGATGAAGAGGAGGCTTGGGTCACAGGGTAGAAAAAGACAGTTTAATGATATATGGTGGTTTACATCAGAATATTGAACTTCCACCAAGACATTCATGCTGATATACTTAAATAAATTTCATGTTTACATTCTGAATCTTTGGAAAAATTAGACTATTTCCCTGTTAAAACAGCATCTACTATATGTGCTATTTATACAAAAACAATCACTGTTGCTGCTACAGCAGCTAATGCTAGCTTCCCTACTACTATAACTACTTTTATTGCATTTTAATGCTTGTACAATGCATCACTGGATTTTTTTGTTCAGTGATATATGAAGTGATGGTGTTTCATAGACCCGAGCATAGTTGCATGACATAATGATAAAAACTTCATTCATCCATTCAGTAGTCCTAATAATATACTTTTCTGTGTTTTTTTTACAAAATAAAAAAGGGAAATATATAATGTATGGCTACCATCATTGTTAGAATTATGAAATAACATCAAAACTTGGGAAGGAGATTAAAAATCATTTTTTATTCTGAATTCTGAAAAATCGATTTTGTTTAAGTTTGCCAGGGATAAAACAGATAACTCAAATGTGACCTGAATGTAAAGGTAATAAAAGAGACAGAAGTATGGGAATTAATATTATAGATGGATGGATAGTGGAACTCACATCTCTGTTTGTTGCCGTTGCTGGTGGGGAGGACAGAGGCGTTACGTGCCAGCAGTTTGACTGGCAGAGATTTGACCCGTCGTACCAGGGGCACCGCCACCCTAGGGCGTTTGACAGGCACCACCCGAGGGACTGGAGACACCCTGCCACGGTACTCAAACAACCTGAAGAGAGAGAGGAGAGGGCAGTCGAGAGGAAAACAAGGGGAAAAGTTGGGATAGGAGAAGAGTGGTCACAAGGGGAGGAGTGGGCATTTGGGAGAGAAAAACAGAGAAAGGCAGGGATTAAGAAAATAAGAGGACAGGAGAAAAGCGAGGGCAGGTGAAGGCAGGAGTTGGGAATAAGGAGAGGAGAAAGAGGAGGGTTGAAAAGAAGGAGCTGAGAAGAAATGAAATTGAAAATCAACCTTTATTCAATCAATTCAATCAGAGATATAAATTATATTTGTATACTAAGTTTCAACAGCGAACATTTTTGGTAGACAACAAATTACATGATTATGATATGTACCAGCAGGATATATTATTGTAGGACCAGTGTGTTAGATTTAGTGGCATCTAGCAGGGAAGTTGCAGATTGTAACCAGCTGAATACTGCTAACCTTCCAAGTGTATGGGAGAAACTACGGTGGCCAAAACCCGCTTAAAATGCAAAAGGCCCCATCTAGATCCAGTGTCTAGTTTGTCCGTTCTGGTCTAATGTAGAAACATGGCAGCATCCGTAGAAGAGGACCTGCTCCGTCGATAGATTTAAAAAAACGGCTTATTCTAAGGTAATGAAAAGACAACCATTCTTATTTTCAGATGATTACACACTACTGAAAACATATTTATGGATATATGACACTCTTGCGTCCTGCCTGATATGTTTAATAACATTCGTTTATTGTGTTTTATTGTGTCAGGAGACAGGGTTAACTGAGAAACAAATCTACTCTTGCAAAATAGTATAGTATAGTATACAAAGCACGTGAAAACTTTTCTATGGTTATGTTAAAGACAGCACTTGGTTAAGGTTAAGGAAAGATTGTGGCCCTAATTTAATGCAGAAAAAACAGTGACTTGAAGGATGAGAAAGGACAAGGTTACTTTATTAACATCTAAACAAAATGATGACTATTAAAACTCTCTCTTGTCAAATCCTGTGCTTTGCGCATCCAACCATCAATCCTGACCACCTCCCTGCTTGCAGTAAATAAACCAAGCAATCCCCTTATGTATTAAAACGTTGCCACACACTATAATCCAAGGAGCAATTATGTTTTCCAACATATAGTATAGAAACAAAACTTCTAAGGGATAAAATTAGAGTAAGAGCATCAAATCATCAAACTTTTTGATCAGTTAATGAGGAGAGAGAAATAACAAAAAAAATCACAGGGAATATCTCCATCTCAGTGCTTTCGTGTTATTTTGGCAGTTAGTATAAAATAAATTAATCCACATTACATTTTGTTCTAGCAGGGAATAATACAAAGCGTGCAACAACATACATCAATCAAACATTAAGCTATTTTCCATTTCATATTTAAGGAAGGATCTAAGGATTTATTAGTTTAGTTTTTGTTTTCAGAGCTTTTGTACTAACATCAAACATTTGATTTTATTTATTTCCAGCTGAGAGTACCTCCTGTATTTCTATTGTGTTTTCCATTGTGGTACATTGCATGTCTATCAACACCCCACTTAAAAGCTTACTGATTTTAGGCCATCAGCAATCACATGACTAATGCTGACAATTTTAACCAATCAGACCTCGGAACTGTTTCCCTCCCCATTTTGGACAATTAGACCACATTTCTCTGCTTCTCATGTCAGCTTACTCCCAGCTTATGAAAATTATCAAACCATCAGAAAAACTCAAAAAAAGTATTGACAGACATAACTCCAACAACTCTACATGATTCTAGAGACTAGCACATGTTCAGAGATGGTGCCACCAATGAGAACCACAGCAACCTAGTGGAATATGCTGCCAGAACATCAGAGGATTCTGGAGAGTGCCAAATTACCAGATGAGCTTGACACCTTCTATAACGCCTGCCACTTAGGTGTCATCACTGACATTTTTATCATATCAGTATCACAAGAGTGTTCTCATCTGCTTCAAGACACACACATGTCTGCAGTATTAACGCCCTGCTGCTTTCACCCCCATTATAAAGTACTTTTTTTTTAAAACGAGTTCTGCAGCACATCAAAAACAACATACCAGGCAGCACGGACCCTCCCAGTTTGCTTTCTGAGCCAACATATCCCCAGAAAATTAATATTTTAATTTCACTATTATTTTATTGGCTGAAAGTTAGCCCAATGAGAAAAGGCTTACTATTCTATTCACAGGTTTCACACTCTTCACTGTTAATCTGCCTATCTACAGTATAGACAGTTATAGAATAAGGGGGATCCGTGAGCCTCCTTGCTAAAAGTCCTGTAGAACTTACGCATGACTTAAAAGAGCATGACCCATTGCTCTAAAAAAGACAAGAGGATAGTGTGATCAACTGTGAGATCTTCTCTCAAGTACGGGGGATGTTAAACCACATGTCAAAATGTTATATTTATATTTATACAGTTCTGGCTTTAGATGGGTACCAACGTTCTATCTGGCTTAAAAGGAATCTGTAAAAAGAAAACAGACAGTTTGTCTTTATTTTAAGTATGTCCCTGTATTTGACAGAATCATCCTGCACAGATGACATCACTTTGTCATTCAAATCCAGCAAATTATTTCTCATGTGGTTGTCAAGAAAACAGTATTACACAAGCAATACCAGATCCCCTTTTGCCACCCAATAAACAACAAAGAGAAGCTTTTAAAAAAGACAGAGCAAAATTAAAAAGGGGAAACCACAAGGATGCTCTGTTTTACTGTCTTACAGTTGAGTAAAGTTAGAAAACAGGAAATGGAAAATCATGTTTTTGAGCTCCCAAATGCTTCATATTGGTTAAAATGTCAGGATAAACCAGAGAAAAGAGGCCACCAGAGAAAACATTATTTTTTGGTTCCCCAACATGTGAGCCTGATTTTCTAGTGGTAAACCCTAACAATCTGCTGATGGGTTCAACAATAATATTAACTCTATGGTAGAATATTTTAAATGAACAAACAATATGTTGCCAGAATAGTGCTAACACTTAGCTTACTTGCAACAGTAGCTTAGTCTGGGCACTGCCCAGGTGCCGTTGAATAAGGCACTGGAACCCCAATAGCTTGGTGGGTGCAGCTAAGTGCCAGACCCATCACTCTAACATCTCTCCCCTCAATTACATGCCATAATCAAAAACATACATAATAGACTAATGTGTGTTTTAGGTTAGATTATATGTGACAGGGAATGTAATCTACAGTTAGTCTTTTCACTGTTTTGCTTTTATGTTATTTATTTTACAATATTTACAATTGAACATGAAGTGAACAGATCAGTTAATGCTAGATTAACAAGTCCCCAAATTAGGCAACAAAATACATCTTTGGTCTATGCCCTCATGACACATGGAAAGGTCTTCTGATTTGATGCCAGTATGGTTATGGTTATATTATGGTATAATTAGGTTTAGGCACAAAACTGGGCTGAATGGCATTAATGTAAAAGTCACATAACATTTCTGTTTAATAGAAAATAAAAACACTTGGGACACTGAACACTTCAAGAGTTATAAATTGCTAAAACTGTGCATTGAAAAACACTAAATCTCCATCTTGACAATATAACCCAAATCAGATCCCATTTTCAGTGTACTCAGTATGTGAATCTATGGTTTTTTTGGTGGATTGGCAAGGAACTGTTTCACTTTTGTCTCCCCCCAAAAAAAGGCAAATAAATCCCAGGTTCAAGTATGTTTTGCGAATTGTAAATAAAAAGCTTGTGCTCAAATCAAAAACGTAATTCATTTTCGACTCAGGTCATGAGGGTTGACAACATTTTGGGAAACCTGTTTGGAATATGATGATTTAATTCAACAATTTTGACAACAATGACCTCCCTTTGGCAGGTTCTGTGAGATATGGACTGCAGCCTGTGTTTTACTTTTTGGGACAAGCAGCAACTTTATTTTGGTCTGTTTTTTGATAACTAGCCCAAACAAGGCTCCAAATGTTTCAGATCCTCCCAAAGCTTAATCAGATTCTATCAGCTCATAAAACTAGGTCTTATAATCACCGCAGATAACAAGATGGCAATGTGCTTCACTCCCCTACCTTAACATGCATCTCAACAGGGATAGAAAAGAATGAATGGTAAATCATATTGTGAAACATGACAATTTATTTCCACTATTTGGACAAAACTGTTCTGCTCTGCAAATCAAATAACCAGATCAGACAAGGTCTTTAATCCCCTGCACAGATCATACTTCACTGATATAAGGTCAAACTGTTTTTTTATGTACAGAATTAAAAAAAGGAATGAACATGAAAATGATGAAAATAAATTTGCAAAAGGGTGTACAGAGATTAAAGGAAAAGAGGGGAAAGAAAGAAAACAACATTTAAAAGTTAGAAGACTTTACTCAGCAAAGCCAACAGAGAAAGTCCTGTAGGACTTACGTATGACTTAAACCTTTCAAGGATAATGTGATCAACTGTCTTGGACACTGCACACTGCAGATCTGAGGAATACTAAAATTGAAGGATGTCTAGCGTCAGCTGCGAGAAGTCATGAACTTTAATAGGGCACTTTCTGTACTGTGGTGAGCTCTAAAAGCTGATTAAAAAGATTCGGACATTGACTCATCATTCATAAAAGCTAAAAGTCAATCTGCAACCTTCTCAAGTACTTTAACTAAACACGGTAGTTAAGAGATAGGTCTAAATTTGCTAATAATTTGGATTGAATAGCAGGGCACAGTGCCAGAGGAAAGGGAGCTGTTTGCAAAAGTACAAATTGTGTTTTTTACAAAATCAATCAAGCAAAAAAGCAAGTTTTAGCCCTAGCAGGTAAATAAACTGACAGGGAATGTATGGGTAAGGTAATACGCCGATGAATGACGGAGGAAGGGAGGGAGACTGCCAGATCCCAGTGAAAATTGTAAATCAAAGCTGAGGTCTGCGGCCCAGCTGGTCAGCATGTTTCAACATCTGTTAAGACAGATGTTTGTACAGTAGAACTCAGCAGGATTTCTCTGACTTTGGTAAAGGGGGCTGATTTGTTGGAATGGATGGTGAGAGGTAAGGGATAAGGGATAAGGTGCTCAGACAAAGGTGCTCAGACATCTGGAAGGAGTGCTGAGTAGCATAGCAACTCCTTCACACTGAAAAGAGCCAGTTAAGATAGTTCCGACATCTAAACTGTCGCCACTGTGGAGGCATTCCAGGCATGTAAAACTAGGAGGAGACCCCAAGGTAGCACCAGAAGGTGCTGGAGGGATTATAAATCCCATCTGGACTGGGGATGTCTTGGGGTCCCCAAGGAGAAGCTGAGGAAGTAGCTAGAGAGAGGGGTGTCTGGGGTTTTTTGTTCAGCCTGCTACCACCACAAACCCAGACTGGGATAGTCTGAAAATGAATGGATGGATCAAGCATAGAATAAAATTGAATTCACTAAAATGACAGTAGTGTAGTGTGTTGTTTGTACATGTGAAGTACACTGACACAGCATGTTAAATTTAAAATGACTTTAAAGTGCTGAATCTCACCTTTAATTTGTGGGTGCTTCATATATTTCCATATCAGATGGACAGAGTGGGAACTGGCCTGACATCAGTGTTCAACCTTGAATATGGACTACACTATAAACACCAAGTGCAAGGATTTCATATAAACACACATATCACTGAACCAATGTAAGAGCAACTATTTTGCACAAAAGCCACAAATCTGCTCTGCTTTGTCTTAAAATGCGTATTTTTTTTTTTTACCTCTAAATAATATTTGTAATAACTTGGTTTATTATTTCTGCATTCTTTGCATTCATTTCAGATAATTTGGCCCTGGGAGAACCATCAGACTATGACAGTTACTAGATTATGTAGTTATTTACTTCCAAACTGATGACACGTGTGTAAGGGTTCTTTCAAATGAAAATCAAAGAGTCTGGGTCTAACACAGAGTTCAGAGATTGATGTATGAGTCATAACCCAATCCCCATATTCACAAAGGTCTTTGATGTGCTGAGGTCTGGGGACCAAAATAAATTCACAGTCATGTTTCTGGAATCATCTTGAAGTGATGGCAAATTATCATGCTGGAGGTTCCAATTAGACATGAGACAAAGGCTGGATTCTGAGGAGAAAGCAATGCTTAGGAGCACTCCAATTTTCAAATGATGCTCCATTAATACTAACTGGTTTAATGTAAGCCAAGAGATCTATGCTAAGTCCTGACAAGACCAGCATCAGCCTAAACTTTTGACATCAAGCTAGAATCATGGACTGTTTGCAGCAAATGAAAAGTGTTTATCTTCTGCGGATCATGTGCTCAGTGAATTACAGAGAACTCTAGCCACTATACTTTCAAGATCACCACATCTTAGATCCCAGCACTAGAAACAAGCTACAAGTTAAATCAAAATGTAAATCTAATTTTATAACTTCTTATTCCTCATCCACTCTGATGTTTTCTGCCGTGCTTGCCATTTTTTATTGAGGAACTAGTAGAATCCAATGATGATTTCAAACTCACGCACAAAATTAAATTATACTACATTCTTTTCTGCAGTTATGCTGGTGCTCTACTTGAAGGTCACAATATTTGGGGGTGAAAGTTGAACTTTGGCAGCAGAAACTGGAGGAAAATCAGGGGTGTGTGGTTTGGTTGGTTTATGCAGCTAGGCAGAAGGGCATAGCCACATCCTCCACTGAAAATAATGTTGTAGTCTCACACTTGAGTGAAATCACTCTGATATCCAAGCAGTCACAGAAAGTAATCACAGTGGTTGAAGGAAGCATCCTAGGACTGGAAAGCCCCATGTTTGATCCAAAGGACAAGCCATGTTGAACAGCACCCATGAGAATTAAGCTCTCTGGCTGCTCCCTCTTTGTTCTGTATGCACACTGGCAGAGTAAATAGAAATGTGTAATTGACAGAATTAGCAGACACAATTGCCCCTCCTTTCCCGGTGTGGAGGAGAAACCTTGATAACCCTTCTTTGCTGCATTATGCTGTTTTATTTAAAGATAGACAGCGCTTGATGCATTTTGACAGGAGTCAAAGAGGGTTTGGGAGGGTGGTTTTTCTACCACAAGCATGACCGTCTTTTGTGAAACACAAAACCTCTGCATGAAAAACATTTAAAAACTTCTGCACATAATGGCAGTGAATAACCCCAGATTGTTTTATCATTTTTTTCTCTGGGTGAATGCAAAGATCTCTTCCTTAGATCTGAGACATACACTGGTTGGACATCTGGGATCATCTGGATGCATCGTCACTGATTCATCTCAGCTGGCCATCTCTACTTTCTGTTCTTCTCTGTACAGACACTTTTCAAAAACATACTGGTGTACATATATTTTTTTACGTTATCAAAGTAAAGATTCAGTTTCAAAGCCCTGAACTCTCTTGGAAATCAGTTGAGACATACATGAGTGGGTCCAAGGATTTGCTTCAAGTACGAGGAATGCCAGGACCACAGATGCAGCTTTTTCTTTTTTACTCACACAACAGTTATAGCGTTGATGATGACTTTCACCTGGTCTTGTCAGAGCAGTAATAGTTCCCACACTGTGACATGACTGCTGAGGTCAATGTAAATGGATTGAATTTGACCAGATGTTCTTCAGATTTCCTTCACTGAGAGGCAGACGGGGGGAGAATGAAACCCCTAAGGCTGATAATCCCTTGGTTTAAAGATTTATATAAGATCGTGTCAATTGTTTTATTATGATGAAAGACATTGTTAACATTCCTGTTGTGTTACCATCAAATGTGATCAGTTGTTTCCATCATAAACACAATCTCTTACTACCTGAATGCTGTAAGGATTTGATACCTTTCACAGTGGATAACATTACAGAAATCCATCATGTTTATAAATCTTGCTGTTTATTAGTTAGGACATCTAATTTGTTTCCAGTAGAAGTGTTTACAGATCCACATGGATCGATTTCCTTGTATATAGGTTACTGGCAGCAAGTTTGATATATTGATATAGTTGTACTAATTATGATAATTACTAATAATTATATTATAGAGCAACAATGCTCCATGACCTTAACCACAGGGTTATTATTGTAGATGTCATTGTTAAAGTAATCATTTCAACCCAAGCCAAACCGAGTCATGATTATTAACTAATCTAAACTATCTAAACCTGACCTTACTTTAACTGTAAGTGTTGTCACATCATAAAACAGATTTAGGATTTATTTAAAGTGATTTGTAACATTTTGGAAGGCACAGACAAATGATGCCTTCCTGAAATGTGTTATTCAAGAAGGCATGGACAGAACCAACCATATTTGGTTGTGTTACATTTAGAAAGATCTATTAGCAGAAATGGAATTTAATATACATAGGTATGCTTTCATTGGTGTATAATCAACTTATATTGGAATTGTAATGTTTTTGTTACCTTAGAATTAACCATTTTTATCTTAGTGTGGGTCGCCTTCTATGGATGCCATGTTGAACCACCATGTTTCTACAGTAGCCCAGAACACTGACTGTAGATTAGGGCCTTTTGCAGACACCATAGTTTCTCCTACACATATGCACACATTGGCATAATAACTTATTCTAACTCTAACCTTAACCCTAAGACACAGTCCCCATTTTTTTCCACTTATTTAAGTTTAAATTATTTTATCCACACTGACAGTATTATATTGTGTATTATCCTGTTACAACTGTTTATGGAAACTGTAAGATGCTATTCACAAGTTTCCCTAAATTTTAACCTGACACATTTGGTACTGGAAACACTGGGCTCTCAGCAAGGCTTTATTTAAAATAATGTTTCTGAAAATGCCTGCACAATACAGCACAGCACAGCACAGCACAGATCTCTCTCTCTCACTCACACACACACACACACACACACACACAAAAACACACACCTGCAAAGCTACAGCTAGTGCTCCATTCCCATTTCACCAGACCTCAAAGACAAATTCCCCACAGCCTTTCCCAAAAGAACTATCCATCTAATTTCTTGGTTCTTCTCCTTCTTGCAGATGGGGTGGGTCAGTCAATGCTTCTATTTTTTTAATCATAAATTATTCACAAACACAATAACCAAATGTTTCTCTCTAACACATCTAAATGCTCTTCCTACATGTCCATCTTATCTTTTTCACTGCTCTCACTCATCACCACATCCAGAATTTCGAGACTTTATTCTTCACATTGTTCAGCTCACTAACATCAAATCACCTGTGCAGAATATTTCTCTGTTATATCTAAATGAACATCGATGGCCTGATTTTTTAATTGAATTGGATTAAAACGTTGTGTTCAATTATCCTGGGATAATTTGTTTCTAATAATACAAATGATCACTGTTTTTGGGAAACAGGAAGTTTTTGGGCATAAAACTTTCTGTCTAAGTTTTCAAGAAGTTCTTCTGTCTAAGCACTTTTTTATATTCATAATTAATACTAATCTAGTTGAATATTGGTCTCTAATTGTTGTATTTTATGTTTTTGTATTTAATTTTATGTAATTATATACCAGTGGTTCTGAATTTTGAACTTACTGTTGTGCAAATACAAAATGCATGTACTTTGAGTTTTTGGACAAAAACTACACAAGGCTCATCTGCAACAATGACAGTTACCCCAAAATATGTTTCGTCAATGAGCATCTCCTGTTTTTCTTCTTTCTTTTCCTTGCCAGAAATCTGTCCATCTGGTAATTTACATGCCATGTAGCGGTAGCTGGTTATTGATAAAGATGTGTAAAACATTTCTCCTCTGGAAAAACAGTTTCCATGTTCATGTCCATGTGTAATATAACAGCAACCCAAAAAAGTGTTTTAAACACCATATTTGCTCCATTGTTATGGCTCAATAGAGAACTCACATTGGGCCTTCAAACAACATTCTGCCTCTGGCCTCTGAGAGGTTAACATGATTAACCTTCTGTTGATAGCTGGAAACACCAGAGCCAAGAGTCCATGCGTTCAAAGCCTGACTACAGCCCTGCTGGCTCTTAAAGGGAGAAGAATGCTGGAAGGAATCCAAGTATCATCCTTCCTCTTACCTGTCATAGAAGTCTTCTCTGTAGTAATCATAGTCAAACTCATAGCCACTAGGGAAAAAACACAGAAGAACATGATTGGTTGTATAAAGAAACGCGATACAATGCTTTTCATAACACAAGCATGAAACCACATTTAAAACAACACATGGGAACAAAAGCTTTTTGGGGTTTCCACGCAGTTTATAGTTGCATATAGCCGACAAATGAAAAAATACAATTGCATAAAAGAGGCAATAATTACAAACTCTGTGGGAGAGACAAAGAAACCACAACATACTTCATCTCACCCCAAGAGACAGAAAGAGAAAAATGAAAATGACAAAGACAAAAAAATTAACTGGCAACAGAAACGGGATACTCGAGAATGATGTTTAATGTTTACTGACACATTTTACAGTTGCTATTAGAATGCTTTTAGCAAACATGTCCTGAATATATATACACTAGAAACAAGAGGGGAGTCAGAGGTCCGGTAAACTTTATGTAGCTGTGAAGTATGTACAAATAAATACTTTATACTTATATTGCTTTATAAAATATACTTTAGTGATATTTGTTATATTTAAATTGATACAGATGAATCAAATTAAGTAACTAAAACCAACTAACTAACTAAACTAAGCACTTTTAGTTCATAGTTTTGTTTTCATGCCCTGCAACTTTATTTTTTTGATCTCATCAACCCCATTTCCAGCGGCAGCAGGCAACTGCTCTGATAAACACACTGTACGCTAAACAGCAGACAAAGTTAGAGACTTACTGGTGAGGTAAGTGGAACGGAGCTAAAAGGGGAGTTAATTTATCAGGTGGACACAATTGCGATGCCAAACGGAAGATAATGTTTCTCTATGTCTGCTGGATGTTTAAATATGCAACCTCTTGTTAACATGTCAGACAGTTATATAAACCTGGGATATGTGATTTGCTGTCAGCTATCTTTTATAGTTTTGTGGCCCCTAGATTAATGCAGCTTTAAAATATTCAGGGAATGCTTTTGAGGCAAAAACTATGAGGCCGTTGTTGTTTTGGGACTGTATTATAATGACATATGTTTTACATTCACTGTTTCTTATTTTTGTATATTTTGTCCACCTCATAATAATTAGCAGAAAAGAGCGGGTCAGTTGTTTATTTGAGTTTGAAGGTTTGAAGGTTTGAGCTGTAAACCCTTGTCAGGCCCAATACCGATACTGTTTTAAACGTTTAAACAACTGCCAGTCAGATTTTTTACCTTAATATTGCCTTTGATAGACATGAAAAGCTCATGAAACATCTTCAAACAACTGTGGGACACAAAAAGGTCTTTATTGAATCTCAGACTTATTATTTTTCTTTTTCAGGTTTAGCAGCTGTTTGAGGTAGAGTGACTCACCACACTTTTTCAATACAAGAAACACTCTGAAACTGATTACTACCATAACAACTATTATTTCATTAAAAGGGATGATTAACATGTCATGGGTAAAAAAACAGAGAAAGTAAAAGAAAAGAAAAATCCCAATTACAGCTACAATATAACACTTCTAAAAAAAAGTCTAAATATTCGTTTAAAAGTTAGATAGCCTTTAACTGATGAGGACTGAGATATTAAAATAGAAGCCTGAGACTTCTTCAGGGTGTTAATGTTAATAACACACCTACAGGTCTCGGCTTCTACCTTCAGGGTGTTGTTATCCAGTGTAGGTGGTTTGAAAGACCCTCTTTAATTAAAGTGGTTTAAATTGCAGTCCCACATGAGCACCTGTATTTGTTTTTGTGGCCACATTTGTGGGTGTAATATTCTCTTGTTGGCCGTCTAATATAGATCCTGGCCTTTCAAAGAACCTGTGCTTGTTTAGACGAGTCCTAAAATGCTCCAAGATCTGCTTAGAAATGTGACTGACAGGCTAACAATCAATCCAATAAATGGCAGTGTGTACCTGTAGAGAGAAGCTGCTGATCGCTTCAGGCCTTTGGGTCTGTTTGGCCTCGGTTCTCCTGCCATGTTAAGATCTGAAAAAAAAGAAAGAAAATAGAGGAGCAATTTATTTTTGTCTTTTTAAAAACTTTCAACTTGGTTAGCCATCCAATTAGGAATATCTGAAGCACCCTCAGAGCTCAAAAACTCTTTTATATTTAATAGAGTCGGATCCCAAAACATTTAGTGAAATATCTGTATGAATGAGACAGATTCAGAAAAAAACTGGCGGCTGTAGCTCAGGAAGTAGAGCCACTAATCAAACATTTGGCAGTTCGATCCTCGATTGCTCCTGCTGCATGTTGAAGTGTCCTTGGGCAAGATATTGAGGCCCAAATTGCTACAGATGCTGTAAGTCGGTGTGTGAATGTGAATGAAAGGATTAATTTCTGTTTGTGATGAACGCTTACCACCACTGTATGAATGTGTGTGAATGGGTGAATGTGGCATGAAGAGTAAAAGGGGTCAGAAGACTAGAAAGGCGCTATACAACTACACTCCATTTACCATTTATACAAGTGGAGTGTAGCTTATTGTAGAGAACTGTCTCTAAAGGTGGATGGTGTGTTGCCTTGTAACCTCCACTAGAGGAAGCTGTTGAGCCATTTTACAACATCTTCTCTATTCAGCCCACATTGCCCGTTGTCAGTAAAATCACCTGTTCAGCTATTCAGTTATTCAGTCAATCAGCTTGAGTGACATTGGCCTGTCAAGTTGCCATCTATAAAGAATGTGAGCAATCTGATTTCCAGCAGTACAGTGTGTGGTTTTTCCTCCCTTATTTGGGGTGATGACAAAAAAAAAAAAACAGCTTCACTTTACTCAAGTCAAGGAGGAATACCACATTAAAAGTAAATTCCCTGCATTACTTACTGTGTGGTACTGTGTGCTGTTGTGGGCTGTGGTGGTAATTGAAAATAAATGTGAATGAATGCCCAGTTCATGTTACTGTGGCATCATTGGGCAAAACAAGAGAGATTTGAGAAAAGCATGTGCTAGTTATTGTGCTGTGAAAACGTGACGGTAATAAAAGATTAGAAAAAAGCTATGTAATCTTAATTACACCAATTTATGATTAATGACGAATGAATGTTTGTTTGTTTATATGAAACAAGGGTCAGGACTAATGAAAAAAATCTGTATATATATTTGTGTCAATCTGTAATTATCTGTGCGTATAAAGAAGAGTGTGGAATCCCCCCAGGCTCCATTCTTGGACCTCTTCTGTTCAACATCTACATGCTCCCACTAGCTCAGGTTATAGAAAATGACATATCTCACCCTAATCATGTAGACGACACACAGTTTCATATAACAATATCACCAGACTATTGACCCATACAAGCACTGGTGCATCAAAAATATCAATTATTGGATGTGCCAACATTTTCTCTGGTTAAACAAAGATAAAACTGACTGTCTTTGAACTCAAAGTTCTCAGATCTGTCCAGTTCTCAGATCTTTGAACTGGCTTTCTGTGTGTTGAATAATTTACTTTAAAATACTGTTGGTTTATAAGGCACTGAATGGTTTTGGGCCAAAAATATATTTCTGATCTGCTGCTCCATTATGAACTCTCCAGATCTCTCAGATCATCTGGGACGAGTCAGCTTACTGTCCCCAGAGTCCAACTAAATATGGAGAAGCAGAATTCAGTTTTTATGCACCACATATCTAGAAACAAAGTCTAATTTCTTTTAAACCAGGGCTTAAGACTTTTCTGTATGCCACTGCACTTTATTAAGTATAATTTGGGACTTTTTATCTTGGATCTTTTATTCTACTGTTTATTCTATTTTTCATATTCTAATTTACCAGTTCAAGTTTCAAGTTTTATTCATCAGATACTCAAGATATCTCTGTGTATGCACTGAAATGCTTTTCCTTCAGGACTGTGCTTGACATAATAAAAAGATAAAATATTCAAAAATACAATATCTACAACAGGAAAATATATACAACAAAAGATATGGTAATATGTACAAACAATTAAATATTAAATATGGTGCAAATATTAAGGTGCAAATTTGAACCTTAATGTTAAAGCTTACCATTAAAGGGATGCAGGGGACGAGTGGAGGTCATTTGTCAACAAGATTAGAGGTGTAGTCTATTAGGGGCCCTGACAGTGTTCTTGTTCAGGATTTGAATGGCCTGAGGGAAGTAGCCCCGCTTTAGCCTCTCCATTCTGGCTCTGTTTGTTTTATGTTGCTTATGCCTTTAAGTCTTAATGTAAAGCACCATGAATTGGCTTGTTGTTCAAAAGTGGTACACAAATACATTTTCCTTATTGCCTTGCTTTGCTTTCTGTTAACATAGGAATAGTGAAAAAGTGTTGTTACTTGTGATGCCAAACATGAAGCGTTTTAAAAAAGGTTAGGCACAATAAGCTGTTACTTCAGGCTTAACCTTTTCAGAAGTCTTTCTGCAAAGTCGCATTGTTTTCTTTTGTACTTGTTCTTTTGTGTTATTATTTACAGACTAAAAAACAATTTAATTTAAATATGATTTAATTCCCCTGCTCAATAGCAACAGCTGCATGAACTTTGTTTAAAACTGTGAAAAAAAGCAGCACATTAGAGGTGATTACTACTTTGTGTTTTGTGTGACTATTATGATTCATTTGTGTTTTGTTTCCACCCCACACATGTGGGTGGAAAGTTAATAGCTGCTCTGTGCTCATACAAGGAAACATACATGCACCTATGATTCATCCAGTCATCCACTCTATAAACCGCTTATAAGTCTCTGGGGGCTGGAGAACATCCCAGCATGCATTGGATCAGAGGCAGGGAACACTTTGGCTCAAAATTCAAAATCAAATGGCAATCTTAAGTTTCCAGTTTACTTAACCTGTATGTCTTTGGATTGTGGGAAGAAACTAGAGCACAGACATGGGGAGAAAATTAAAACTCCACACCGAAAAAGTAGAGTCAGCAGGCACATTTGAACCCAGGACTGCAGTAAACACTGAGTCATTGTGCCACCTGTCATGAATCAGGACAAAATGAGCAACACAAGAATTTCCTGGAATTCAATGTAATGAATCCCACACTGCATGTAATGTTGATTATGTGATGTATATGTGATTATGCCCTATAATCTTCATGCGGAATGCATTTTGGCATAGGATTGGAATAGAAATTGCTTATGCGCGGGCAATGATTGTCATTGATACCTATACACTCACATACCAAACACTCAGCCAGTGTAGGGATCTTAACCTTACCACCCTTGAAACATTCGAAACCACTGGACTTCAAGTGTAAAGCCACCGTTTCAAGATGACCGTCACCAATTCAGTATCCACAAAATATGGCCACATCTCCCCTTCTGTTGCTGAGTTATGGCGTTGAATAATGGGCAGCAAAGTGTTTTTGATGAACATTATGATATTCACAGGGATGTTTACCTACTGGATATGAAATTTCATCATTTCATCATTTCATCACCATTAAACATTTCTGTGAAATGTTGTCATGAATAGCGTAAAAAATGTGTTTTGAGAGGTCACACTGACCTTCACCAAATACTAATCAGTTCATCTTTTAGTCTAAGTGGACAGGTGAGGTAATGAAATTCCCTCTGGGAGGTCACAATGGCACCTTTATTTGAAAGTTGATTATTTATCATCTGTACACACACACACATCATGATCAACGCTGCCTGATAATGGCCCGAGTATCCATCCACCCAGACCTGATTGTCTCGAGTCCTATGGCCCTTGAATGCCTCTAGTCGAGTCTATACTGTAGCTACAACTCTTAGGTACAGTACAGATGTTTCTATTGCCATACTAAACTATGATTCAAGTGGCTGCTTTAAAAATGTCAGTATCTTGACACAAAATATTTTATAACTTCATAACAACATATATAACTACATGATGAAACATTTAACAGTAAATAAAAACATGATGTTAAAATGCATATCAAATTCAGAGTCATTCAAAAGGCTAATAGTGTTTGAAATTCCTTTAAACATAAAGCAAGATGATGGAAGTTTTGGAAGGGAAGCAGAGGAAGTAGTGAGGATAATAAAAGGATGGACAGACGGGAAGAAGATGGAAAGTGAGTTTTCAGCAGCCAGAGGCTGAAGATTCAAGCCTGTTAACTTCACCGTGAAGGGGAATGTGTGTGTATGTGTGTGTGTGTGTGTATGTGTTTGAGGCAGTGATCCAGAAATCTGACCGCAGCCAGGTGTGGAAATGGCAGAAGTCCAGTTGTTTGCAAGTGGACACACATACACACCTGCCACCACCATCAACCCCTCCCAACCTCCCAACCCCCCAACCCCACACACACACGCACAATAATTCAAGCTATTGACCCTACCCTTTATGACCTAGAGAAAAGACAACCCCCCCCCCCCCCCCCCCCCC